TGCCCAGGTGGGGCTGTCCCAGGGGTGCCCAGGTGGGTGCCCAGGTGCGCTCCAGCCCTGACCCTGCCCCGTGTCCCTCTCGTGCTGCAGAGAAGGCCGACGGCACGGCCGTGGACATCTTCTCCTTCGGGATGTGTGCGCTGGAGGTGCGGGGGGACCCTGGGAACGGTGGGACCCTGCCGGGAGGTGTCACTGTCCGGGGCTGTCCCCTGTCTGGGGCAGGAGGTGTCACTGTCTGGGGCTGTCAACTTTCCAGGGCTGTCCCCTGTCCCTGCTCTGCCTGGGGCTGTCCCCTGTCCTAACCCTAACCCTGTCCCTGCCCTGTCTAGGGGTGTCCCCTTTCTGGGGGTGTCCCCTGTTGGGGGCTGTCTCCTGTCCCTGCCTTACCTGGAGGTGTCCCTTGTCCCCTGTCCCTGTCCCTGCCCTACCTGGGGCTGTCTCCTGTCCCTGCGCTGTCCCCTGGAAGCCCCTACGGACTGGCCATGTCCCTTGTTCCTGCCCTGTCCAGGTTGTCTCTTGTCTCTGCCCTGCCTGGGGGTGTCCCCTATCCAGGGCTGTCCTTTGTCCAGGGCTGTCCTTTGTCCAGGGCTGTCCCCTGTCCCTGTCCCTGGAATCCCCACAGTCTGGCCATGTCACCTGGAAGCCCCATGGACTGGCCGTGTCCCTGTCCCTGGAAGCCCCACGGACTGGCCGTGTCCCTGTCCCTGGAAGCCCCACAGACTGGCAGTGTCCCTGTCCCTGTCCCTGGAACCCCCATGCACTGGCCGTGTCCCTGTCCCTGGAAGCCCCACGCACTGGCGGTGTCCCTGTCCCAGTCCCTGGAAGCCCCACGCACTGGCTGTGTCCCTGTCCCTGTCCCTGGAAGCCCCACGCACTGGCCGTGTCCCTGTCCCCTCGCAGATGGCCGTGCTGGAGATCCAGACCAACGGGGACACGCGGGTCTCGGAGGAGGCGATCGCGCGGGCGCGGCACTCCCTGGATGACCCCAACATGAGGGTGAGGGAGCAGGGGGAGCCTGCTGGGGACAGTCCTGTGTCACTGCTGGGGACAGTCCTGTGTCACTGGTCACTGCTGGGTGTGAATCCCTGTCCCGTGTCACTGCTGGGGACAGTCCCTGTCCTGTGCCACTGCTGGGTGTGAATCCCTGTCCTGTGTCACTGCTGGGGACAGTCC